TCACCGTCATCGAGTGGTCGACGCCAGTGAGCAGCGTCGGCTTGACAAAGTTGCCCTTGGGCGGCGGGTTGGCGAACGACTCGTTCTCGGGCGTCGCGTCCTTTGCGCCCTTGGCGACGGCGTCCTGGACATGCGCCTCGATGGTCTCCTTGGAGCGCTTCGAGATGACGGGGCCGACGTGGGTGCCCTTGTCAAAGGGGTCGCCGAGGACGTAGCCCTTGAGGACCTTCTGCACGGCCTCGACGAAGGCGTCGTGGATCTCGTCGGCGACGTAGACCCGCTCGACGGAGCAGCAGCTCTGGCCCGAGTTGAAGACGGCGCCGTCGACGATCTCGGCGGCGGCCCAGTCGATGTCGACGTCGCCGCGGATGTACGCCGGGTCCTTGCCGCCGAGCTCGAGGCCGACGTTGACGACGCGGTCGGCGGCGGCCTGCTGCACGGCCAGGCCGCCGGCCACGGAGCCGGTGAAGGCGACGAGCTTGATCTGGGGGTTGCGCACGATAGACTCGATGAGCGTCGGCGAGCCGCAGTGGAAGTGCTGGAGGACGCCGGATGGGAGGCCGGCCTCCTCAAAGACCTTGGCGACGCGCTCGACGATTGTGGGCGTCTGCGGGGAAGGCTTGAGGATGACGGTGTTGCCTGCCAGCAGGGCGGGAATGAGAGAGTTGACGAGGATGAGGTAAGGGTACTGGAGTGGTGTTAGTCAGATGAGGTGAGCAGGGGTGGTGGCAGTTGCTCGTGATGTCTCTAAGTGGTGGAGTCGCCACGCAACGGCCACGAAGATGGCGAGACATGTAAAAAAACGTACATTCCAGGCAAAGATGACGAGAACCGGGCCAACGGGAACCTTGCGAATGAAGCGCTTGAAGCCCTTCTCAGCCTCGCCGTCGGTGTCCTTGAGGACCTCGTCGCTGATCTTGAGGAGATACTCGGCGCGCTTCACGGCGGTGGCGACCTCGACGCCGGTGTAGGCGATGGGGCGACCCATCTGGACGGTGAGCTCCTGGGCTAGGTCATCCTTCAGGTTGAGGAGAAGCTTCAGTGCGGTCTTGACAATCTTCTGGCGGTCTGCGAGAGACGTCTTGCTCCACGACTCGAAAGCTTTGGTGGCGGTGTTGGGGAGCTCATCTAAGTCGGCCTGGGAGATGCCGTTGCGGGTGAGGATGGGCTCGTTGGTGGTTGGGGAGATTGTGGTAAGGACTTCGACGGACATGATGGGCGGTTTGTGCTGGGTATTTGGGTATAATTAGGAGAATAGAGAAGAAAAGTGAAGAGTGAGGTTGACGATGGTTGATCAGTTGGCAACTCGGCTTAGATATCCCCTTTGGCTGGGCCACATGAATCGTCACTTGGAGGGGCAAATGGAGGGGCAACACTGAACGTCGGTGAGGGGCGATGGAGCTGAGCTGCCCCGCCGACCGCGGAGCGCGCTGTGAGCGCGGTTGCAGATAAGATACCGATAGCTGTGATAAGGATGATGAGGTAATCAGGCTAGTCGCGGTTGACCGTTGGCCCCACTAAAACTTTTTTGCAGAACACCACGGCTGCTGCGATTGTCGACGACGCAATTGGTCCTGCTGCGGACCTACAATCGACCCCGGGGATCTCAATTGCATACCACTGCCAATATCACCAATTTCGGTTGCTCACCATGGCTCCCGAGAAGCGAAACAAGTTTCTCGACGCCGACGAGAGCGAAGACGACCTCGATCAGGGCTACGACTCCGAGGCCGAGGACCTGCGCAAAGGAGGCCGCAGCGCAAAGAGACGCAAGGTCGACTCGGACGAAGAAGACGAATTCAGCGACGAGGAGCGCGAAGTTCCCACCGCTGCCGCCGAAGACGACGAGGCAGCCGACAGCGACGACGATGAAGCCGCAGACGCATCAACCTCAAAAAAACCCGCCACAAAATCCCCCGCAGACCTCCTCCCCGACGTCACCCGGCCCCTCACGAACAAGAACCTCGTGCAATCCGAAGAGGCCGTCAAGAAGTCGGGCGTCGTCTACATCTCGCGCATCCCGCCCTTCATGAAGCCGCAGAAGCTGCGCTCGCTGCTCGAGCCGTATGGCAAGATCAACCGCATCTTCCTCGCGCCCGAGGACCCGGCGGCGCACGCGCGACGCGTCAAGGCCGGCGGCAACAAGAAGAAGTCGTACACGGAGGGCTGGGTCGAGTTCGTGCGCAAGCGCGACGCCAAGGCCGTGTGCGAGCTGCTCAACGCGCGCACGATCGGCGGCAAGAAGGGGTCGTACTACCATGACGACATCTGGACGCTCAAGTACCTCAAGGGGTTCAAGTGGAGACACCTCACGGAGCAGATCGCGGCCGAGAACGCGGAGCGGACGAGCAGGATGCGCGCGGAGATTGGCAAGGCGAGCAGGGAGAACAAGGAGTTTGTGCGCAATGTGGAGCGCGCGAGGGTGCTGGACGGGATTGCAGCTACGAGGGCGAAGCGCGGGAAGCAGCAGGAGAAGCAGGGGGGCAATGGCGCGGCGGAAGCGGCAGAGGCGCCTGCTGGCGGCGGAGGGGAAGGGGACAAGAAGAGGCGGACGGTGTTCAAGCAGATACCCCTGGCGGAGAGGAAGAGCGGCGAGGCTGCTGCGGCTGGGAAGCCGGCGGGGGATGTTGCGAGGGTGCTCGGCAAGATCTTTTGAAAGGCTGGGCGTGGGTGTATGGTGTGCGTGCATGTCCTCCTCGGCAGTGGGAGCGGCAGCGGCAGCGGGAGGGACCCTCCCACTCTTTCTTGTTTAGACTACCGTTGGTATTGAAGCATAATCGATCTCCATTATAGGACGAAAAGGTTCCTTGAGATCGGTAGTTGCTCCTCCTCGATGAGGCAGCTAGAGGGGTGTGAACTGCCTGCTGCTGCGGCGTACGGACGCCAAGAGACGGCTGTTGGATCACCAACTTGCCAAGGGCCCGGTGATGATTTACGTCTGGCGTCTTGGCAAGGAGGCGATGAGCGAGAATGTTGTGATGGAAATCTATTCTTGTCATGTTGACGGATTGTAGTGGGTCTGGTTCAATATTGTTCAGTATCTTTTGATATGAGGCTAGCGCATATCAATAACGACATGTCCAGTCACCAGTACATTTCAATGAGTATGTGCACATGTGAAGTTATTCACGACTACCGATCTGCCTCTGTACTCGGTGATTTGGTGTTGTGCCCTGTTCAATTGCCGAAAACCTCGTCATCTCACCAGAAGCCTCACTTACACGCGTCCCCTCAACACCCGCTTTCCCACCACCACGACCACCACCACCCATCAGCAGCAGTGCAACCACCACTCACAGCGCCAAGACACCGAAGACATACATCATCAACCTAATGCCCCTCGTCATCGTAAACCATCACAACAACCACCCGTTCACCACCACCACCAACCGGCCCTCAACACCTCTCTCGTCCGCCGTAGCATTACCACATCACCATCAGATGGCAGACGCCGGCGCGGCGCGGACAAGACGCACTCCACCTCCATCCCGCCGCATGAAAGCCCGTTCAGCAGCCTGGGAGGGTGGGTGCCGTCGGACACCAGAGTCCGTCTCGGCCAGGAAAACCTACGCCGCCGAACCTGCCCTCTCCTTCTCCAAGGCCCCTCCCTGACTCTCTTTCCTCACGCCCCCAAAACCGTCTCATCATTCTTCCCGCCCCAGCCGGCAGACGGCACGGCCGCGGCGGGGAGGTGGAGGTCTTGGTACGGGCGCGCGCGTCTGGGCAAACTGCCGCAGCAGTCTGGGGAAGTAGGACTTAGGGCGTAGGAGAGAACACGAGGGCATGGAGTATTCGTGCCGGGAAGGGCGGGAAGCACCACGCGCCGAGGGGTGGTCGATGCCCTGGGGTAAAAGGACGTTTCGGCGCCGGCGTCTATGCATGATCCCACGCCCAAAGGAAACAAAACACAGAGCAATGGGTCCCGCGGAGGCGGGCGGCGGCCGCGGCGGCAAGCATAGACGCCGCAGTCCGTCGTCCGCGGGGAGGGATGGAAGAGAGCAACGACACATGGGCCACGGCCGTCGTGCTCGCCATCGGACTCATGATTCCTGAAACGACATCGCCGAAGGGCAAGGGGTCAGGCGTACCACGTCCCAAGGTAGGGGAGCCCTGCCGCCCAACGAACGAAGAGCCTCCTCTGCCTCCGCGGGGTGCCGACCGCACCGACCACGAAAATCGGCGATTAGAAACGGTTCGGCGACGGGAAGAGGATGGGGGCCAGGGAAGGGCCCAGGCAGTCGGCACCCTAAGGCAAGGCGAGGCACAGACACGTACAATCGTCAAGAGGTGTGCAGCACGGACGACGAGGGCAGACGAGGAAGGTCGGGGAATGGCGATGGACACATGTCGGCAGCGGACGAGCTGGCGTTGAGGCTCGTGCGGAAGTGCCGGACGCACGTACGCCTCGTTGTCGACGACGGCCGTTGAACGGGGAATTGGGATCAGCCACACACACTTACACCCCTCCCCCTCCTTATGAGGATTCGCAAGCGGCGGTGATAGAGTTCTGAGATGGCACATCGCCGACTAAGGTGGCCAGTGCTTCCCCTTCCCTCTGGCCGACGGCGATAACGACAACGAGAGACAGCCCGACAATGCAGGGAGAACGAGGCTTTGAAGCGCTTGAGCCACGTTGTGGCCTTGTCTATTCTTCTTTTCCCAACGACGACGCAACGCCCACCCCCTGCTGCTTTGCCGACGTGCGAGGTATCTGATTCTGATGCATACACGCCTTGCCCATCCCTAACCGTCCCATCCCTCGTTTTTGAAGACATTTTAACCCTGGACGTTGTATTGTTGCTCTGTGCCCTAAGAAACAAACGCTGAGAGAGGAAGCAACGAACTTCGTCCCCGCAGACGGCCACTTAACCTTAACACCCCACCGGGACCGCGTGTGTGAAAGTAGTCAGTCGGGGCATCTCCCGCACAACCAAATTTCCGTCGCATCCCGCGCACGACACACACACGCCCCCCTCCCCCCCTTCCCGTCCCGACTAAGCTTAATCCTGAATCTGGAGTTCGTCCATGTCGTCGAGGAGCTCATCCATGTCGACCCTCGGCGCCTCCTCGTCGTCCTCCGTCTCGGCGATGGACATCGCATCGGGGTCGGCGGGCTGGTTGTTGGCCTTCTGGGCGCGGTAGATGGCCATGGTGGAGCGGAACTCGTCGTCCTCCTCGACGTCGCGAAGGAACTGCTCGTACTCCTCGTCCATGCGCTCCTGGTCGGCCTTCTTGGGGAGCAGCTCGCCCTCGTCCTTGGCCATGCGCTTGAGCTTCCAGTTGCGGGTGCGCGTCTTCCTCTTGCGCGCGTAGTGCTTCTTGACGAGCACGACGTCGGGTATCGTCGAGCCGTACGCGTGCGACTCCTCGATGGCGTCGAACTCTGGGTTGTTGAAGTTGGTGCCCGTGAGCATGTAGCCCATCACCGAGTCGCCCGCGTGCAGCAGACCGCCGAGGTGCGTCCTCGCGAAGTACGTCTTGTCGTTGACGCCCAGGTCCGCCGCGCGCATGACTTGTACCTCGCCAAGCTGCCACTTGCCCCTCGAGACGCCTGTCGGCTCAATGTCCATGACGATGAACTCGACGAGCGACTTTGCGTCGGCGAGCGAGTTGAATGGCGCGCGCCAGTAAATGTCTGAGGGGATGCTTGCTGTCTGGAGGGTGTTTGTGTCGAGGAGGTATACTGCGGTTCCGATCTTGTGGCAGATGACGAGGGGAGAAATGTTGCCCAGGGACTTGGCCAGCTTGATGGGCATAGCAACAAGATCGTCACGGCATATGGGGATAAGCTCGGCCGAGAAGGTGAACTTGTATGACTTTGTGGACGTGTGGATATCCTGGGAAATAAGCTCCTGCGCCTTCTTGACGCGGCAAGGGGCGACAGAGTTGAGGAAATCAACAAACTTCTCGGCCTGATTCCTTGCGGAGAAGAAAAAGTCGATGCCGTCCTTGGCCTCCTTGATGTTCAGGGTATCTTTGTGCGCTCCGTGCTTCATAATCAACTGCTCGAGGTAGAGGAACGTCCTCTTGTGCAGAACCTTTTGTCTGACCTGGACGCAGGCGCGCCAGACGTTGGCCGTGTACGACTTTGCGCAGTCGGGACATTGTTGGTATGCAACGATGAAGACGGCCTCGAAGGACTGCTGGAGGAGAACGCCGCTCTGGACCTCGTCCTGGATGGTGATCTTGACCTTTACTCGTCTCGAGTGCGGCTCGGTCCACACAAAGGAGGCGTCGATGATGCGGACCTTGTGCAGGCCCTTGAGCTTCTTCAGGCAGAGCGCGAGAAGCTCGCGGGATTCGGGGGCGGCGACGATCCAGCTGGTGGGCGGCAAAAGCCATCGGTCGCAGTCTCGGCAAAAGTTGAGGGTGGCCTCGCGCTGGACGCCGTTGGAGATGTCGACGGTCAACTTGATGCAGTCGAAGCAGAGGGCGTTGGCGGCGGTGGTTCCGTCGATGGGGGCGCCGCAGTTGCAGCAGAGAATCGTGGCGGCCGTCATGTTGTTTGCGCTTCTCCCTTAATGCCCCTGTGTGTTTTGTCAAGATATTGCAGAAATGGGAGGGCGGCAGCCGGGGTTGATGGGATTTTGGGCTGTCGTATGGCGGGGTTGATCGCAAAATCCAAAAATTTCCAGCGATAAGCAATGGAGGGGTTGCTTATCATCGAGTCTGAGTCACGTGCGCAGACTTTTTTCTTCGGCCCCTGCTGCATTCATGGTGGCGGCATTAATAATCGGGCCTCCCACCGGTAGCGTCATTGCTGTCACACAGCGCGCAGAAGCGCCTGAAGGACCGGGATTGGAGTACTGACTTGACAGCATTTTAGCAGCTGTTTGTCATCGAAGAATGCACAGCGGGAACCATGACAAATTGTCGGATAGCATTTATTCTTTTTGAACCGTGAGAGGGTTTATTGAAGTTTCAATGACTGGCCGCTGGGCTCATAGTGACTCAAGTTAACTACAGCCAAGCAAGCTATCCCGAAACCCATCGGACGCCACCGAATGCTGTGATACCCAGGGAACAAGCCATGATCAGTCCAACGACGAGTGAGCGTCAGCACAACCACCAAAAACAGGCAAACAAGACTACCCCTCCACTCCAACCCAGCGATCCGGATCACCGCCCCCAATACCACTCCAAGTCAGACGCTTGATCCCTTTCTCGCGAAAACCTAAGCTGTCGCCAGCGGCACAGCAATGCGTCTAAAGAAAAGAAGAGAAAATGAAGGACTCAAAGGAGTCAAGTTCCAAAAATTGAGTGCGTTGGAGAGCCCCCCCTGAGCCCCCAACGCAGAAAGTAGACGACGACGACGACGACGTCGTGGGCCCGCGCTTGCGCAGCCCTTGGGCCCCGGCCCCAAAAGTCCTATGAGAAGATCAGTGATCGAGGAGCAAAAGATTGTGCCGCCCCGAGACAGGACGAGTCTCTGTCTGCAGACACCCGAGCCAATGTGCAATGGCCGGGACTTGGTCGAGGGCCCCAGCATTCTTGAGCGAAGGGGCCCGACACGGCTTGGGACGTGGTTCGGGAGTCCGGTCCATGATGTGGAAAAGAAGAAGAAATGGAGGTTGGGGGAGATGGTTTGGGGATTATATAGACATGGGAGGGGGACACTAATCAGTAACCCTCATGTCCCAGGGAATCCCTCGGGGAAGGGACGTCTTCTCACAAAGGCAGTCACTGGGCCTGGTGTTGCCGGAATCGAGCACCTTCTTTCCTGCCGTGAAGGAAGCAACCGGCATGTCGGGGAAGGACGCAGGGCAGGTGAGGGAGGTGCCAGGCTTTGCACCTGCCCGAACCCAAGAACGTGCCTTCGTCGGTTACCTTATGGAAGGCAGGTATCAAGGGTAAATGTATTTTGCAGGAAGGATGTGGTGCGACAACCCCATGGGTTATGACCTGATCGGAAGGAGGTTCCTGCCAGTCGTGTAAGCCAAGCTTTTCCCCGGCGAGCTGCATGTCAGCGCGACTGCCTCTTTCCACTCGAGGATACAGGAAGTAGCATCCGTCCACCGCCCCTTCCAGATTGTCTCCGATGCGCCCCGGAAGAAATGTGGCAGGTGCTGACCGGGAATTGGAACTTTGGGCAGCGGTGAAGAGCGAATCGTCAGCGAGGTTTGCTGCCTGCGTGGAGAGGCCGGTGCTTCCGCCGCTGGGAGCAGATAGCATTCGGGGTTGGGAATGGTGTCAAGCTCATCGAGTAGCAATGACAGAGTCGACACTTGCTATCGTATTGCACGGCAAAGTGAGAATGGCGTCGCTTAGAATTATGTGGTGAGGCACAGCTGAGCAGGACTTGGAAGAGATTTGAGCAACTCAAACTTGCAGATACTGGGCGGATCAACCAATGAACCACGTCGCAAAAGAACAATTTGGAGAGCCAAGAACGAATCGTTGGACCGTGTCTATTGCTCACATCTTGAGTATGCAATGCTAACCATCACAGTCCAAGTCATCTACACTTCGTATTCAAACCATTGTCGTAAATCATTCGTCTTAGTTTAGTCTCAGGGGTATAGCTGCTCAAATCTTAGAACAGGACTCATCATTCAGGCAGCAATTCACTTGCCATTCTCTCCATTCTCCCCGTTCTTCTTCGCGCCGTTCTCCCCATTCTTCTGCCCCACAGGCCCGACAATCTGCTTCGCCTGCTGCAGGTCCATCGCCATCATGCCGAGGTGCAGCACGTCCGCCGACATCGAGATCAGGCTCATGCGCTTCGCCGCCTCCTGCAGCTTCTCGGGGCTGCCGTACGGCGGCGTCGCGAACGCGAAGCCCGCGTACGGCTTGTCGTGCTTGTCCATCGTCTCGAAGAACAGCTTCTGGATCTCGAGCCACTCGGGCTCGTCCTGCGGGCCGCCCATGTTGGCCGGCAGGTTCATGCTCACGCGCGCGTCGAGCGAGCCGAGCCAGACGACGTCGATGTCCGGGCACTGCGTCAGGATGTCGTCGAGGTTGCGCACCCCCTGCGCCGTCTCGATCTGGATCATCACGGCGGCCTGGTTGTTGACGCACTTGTGGATGTCCGACTTGGGGTCGTACGGCGTGTCAGTCAGGAAAGGGATCAGCCGGAAGGGCGGCGCCGAGCGCGTGCCGTTCTGCTTGGTGCCGTACTTGGCCGCCGAGAGGACGTGCTTGGCCTCCTCGACCGTCTCGACCTGCGGGACGACGATGGAGGCGCCGCAGTCGAGGGCGTAGCCGATGGCGGCGTGGTCGTGGCCGGGGACGCTGGAAGGAAGGAGGGTCAGCGCTAGGAATGCTTGAGGTTGCGGCGGGCCGCGCGCGGGGGAGGATTGGTAGACTTACCGAACAAAGGGGATGGTTCGGCCCTGGCTCATGAAGATGGCTTCGTGGACCATCTGAGGTGTGTTAGTGTTGTTGTTTAATATGCCTTTGGGGCTGAATGTGAACTTACAGACGTCATGGTCTCGACGTTGCAGGAGGTGTGCTCCCAGTCGATCCATACGGCATCATATCCCATGGGGGCGAGGAATCGTGTAATGGGAAGAGAGCTGAGGCCAGCGTAGTAGCACATCAATGGGGGGATCTTCTTCTCATGGGCATCGCGAATGGCTTGGCGAGCCTTGTGAGGTTGGAAGAGCGAGGGCGCGGCATAGGCATTCATGCCCTGCGCGGCAACGTTCTTGTATTCCTCGCCCATGACTGACATTTTGGCTGGATTTTGGGGTGAGTTTGGAGATGGGATGATTAGATAGGCTCTTATTAGGACTTGTGAGAGAAGGACTGAAGACGAGGGAAGATGGGGGCCATCAACAGCAATAAAGGGCAGCTGGAAGATGATCTTTTATATGCTGTTGGTGCCTGAGATGTCACATTGCATCTGTGGACCGTCAAACCAAAAGTCCCAGGGTCTCCCGCATTTGCCCAGGGTCCCTCCACAAATGGCGATAATACCGCGGGGTTCGGACGCGGACGGATTGCCCATGCCGGTCCTCATTCACCGTGGAGCGTGTCGTTGCTGAATGAGGCCTAAGTCATCGACACTTCTGCGTGGACAGGGGACGTCGGTCCAGCGCACGATGGATGCAACGATGCAGCGTCCCACTCACGATACTCTCACGTCAGCTAACAAGGGACCTTGGTGAGAGCCGCACGGTCTTCACGAGCAGTGTTTCTGAGCCTTGTAATTCTTGTCTGGTTCGATTGTATACCGAAAGCGGCGAGCCGTAGGGCAAGCCAGCGGGCTTGATAGGGCAAGGTACTAAAAAAGGATCATTAAGGAGAGCTGCCGACGCAGTTCCTCCCCCGCTGCCTGGATGTAGCGCGTCGGCGGCGCAGCAGCGATGCAGCGAGCTTGAAGGTAATTGCTTCTTGGGATTGAATGCGGGCCGACTGAACGGGCGCCAAAGGATTGCTTGCGCGGATATAAGGCCTAGACACCAATATCAAGAAGCGATGACAGAGGTGACATGGCCTAGTCTTCGCGCTAAGCGGTAGGTCTTACCATGACGACAAGCTTCAAGGCACAGCAAAAGCCAGTTAATTTCTTCTTTTGTTTGTATGCGACCATCTCAGAAAATATCCCACAAGGAAATCTTGCCGTCTTTACTCCCGGCAGCCAGCCAGTGGGCGGATTGAGCCTGGAGAATGCGCCTATCCTTGACGCTCAACTGCCCTGAACGGGGCGCGAGGTCGCGGGGCGGCTCCTCTTCTTGCTGCTGCTGCTCGCTTGGAGCATCCCGACCGTGTGTAGTGCTGGCGCCGACGTTGGCGAGGGCGACAGCATAGCATCCCACTTGGTGCCACTTGAGGGTCGCCACCTCCTTCAGGGTCTTTGATGAATAGACGCGTACCGTGGAATCCCAGCCTGCGGTCGCAAAGATGCGACCGTCGTCGCGGACGCGCAAACCTTGTTGGCCTGAATGCTTGGTGTTTGAGATCTTTACCGGTTGCTGTACGACGGACTGGTCGTCAACGCCGGAGTTAGGGCGCGGGATGGGGTGCTTCGCTACGACGGCGTCCGCACCGGAGGTAAGAAAGTAGGATCGATCTGCGGCGACGTCGAGGGAGAGGACAGGTTGCTGGTGAACCGTCGACAGGTAAACTGTGTTCCACGCTCCGCCGGCGGCGAGCTGCAGGACCGTTGCCAAGCCGTTCTCGTAGGCGGCAACGAGGGTGAGGACGCTGCGATTGGCAGACGACGAGCCTGCAGACTCGGCTCCGTCGACGTACAGCAGGGCCAGGGCCATAACCATACCGTTCTTATCACTGGCTTTCACCGTGTGCAGTCGCTTATGCGATGGTAACTCGTAGACGTCGACCTGCGCCCGCGGCCGTCGGGTTAGGGTCCGGGACGATTCTCATGCAGGGCAGCGTGGTGGACAGGGCAGATCCGGGCTTTAGAGCCGGAGATAGAGGGCGAGGGGACTCACCGATTCCGAGGCTAGGGTGTTGGGCACTGCTAGCAGCATGCCCGTGGTCTCGGACCCGTCGCCGGTTCGTGGCACACAGGATGCAAATGAGCAGAAATTCATCG